GCCTGTTCCCCAAGGAAAGGAATTCCTGCAGCCTGAAAGCTGTGCCTCTGTATGCTCTGCTGTTGTCCCCAGCTCCCAGTCTGCCTCCTGCAATGTGCCCTCATGCCCACTGACCCCAGGACCAGCCCCTAGTCCCCACAGCCGTAAGATCAGTGGGTGCTTTTGATGTGGCTCGCAGAGGGCTATCACTAAGGCTTGGGCTTATGCCCACACATCTGACCCTATATGTTCTCAGAGCCTTTTCCCTGGATAGGTGCTAGAGGAGAGAATCCCAGGCCAGGAACAAGGAAAGGTGACGTTTCTGAACAAGACCACAGCAGAAACCAACCCCTTAGCTCCTCCTTTACCCAGCAGTGCCAGGGAGCACCCAATGTGCCCCCAGCACTGCACCCGCAAACCTTTCCTGCCCTAAAGGTGGCATCTTCAGCAGCTCAGGGTCCCCATGGTCCCCTGGCATCCAGCCTCCAGTGCAGTGCAGAGTGTGTAGTGCCTGTTGTGGTGTTCCCTTGCCATGCTGGGGGTGAGCCTGGCACCCAGGCTGCCTGCACAGTGGGATGCAGCTACAGCCAAGCGGGAATAGGGTTCTCCTCAGGGGCTTCCTTGTGTTGTGCCTGCAGCAAACCCTTCCCAAGCATCCAATGCATTCATGGAGCAGGGACCAAGGGGTACTCGAGCCAGGCCACCCCACCACATCCGGCTCATCCTTTGCACCCCTCTTTGGGGCCAGCTCCCTGGGGAGAATGGAGCATAGCAGGAATTGTGCCTTTTCCTCTCCCATGCAGACAGTCACGATGGTTAAGTGGCTTGTTTTTCATTAGGAAAAGGCTGTTGCTAGGCCACCCTGGTCCCTGGCATTGGTCGGGAAGGGGTTTTGCAGCCAATCCGGGAGGCTGTGCCTGCAGTTCCGCACACGTACACACATGCATACGCACACATGCACACGCACACCCCTCTTGCAGCCGAAGTGCTAAGCAGCTGCCAGATGTGCCTATTCATTCCCACATCACACCTATTTGCTTCTCCGGGCCAAGCAGGTTATTAAGGCTCCTGAGATTCTAATTGTTAGTTGGCTGTGAGGTTTCTGCCTTCTGATTTAGGCACAGGGTGTAGAGCAGAGGGGTGAGGGTGAGTGGGGGTACCGATGGGTTGGGGGTACAGGGAGGCTGGTTCCTCCCTCTACTACAACCAGTTTGGTCTCTGATGGTTTGCCTGAACGAAGCTTCTGCTCTCTGCCTGCAAACAGGGTGAATAGTCCCTCTGGGTCCCCACAGCAAGGGGACAGACTGCCACAGGTCATGGGCTTGCTCCAGGCTGTTATTAGGTACCAGCTTTGCTCCACCCCAAGGCATTTGTGGTTTACGTACCACTTCAATCACATGTAGTGTGATAACCAGAGCCAGCATCCAAGGAAACTGGGTGCTTGATATGGAGATGCTGCTCCCAGCCATGGTCCATGTGCAAACAGTCCTCGGCAGATGGGATCGGTGCTGGGCCATGCCAGGCACTGGTGATGCAGGGCTGGAGGGTCAGACACATCTCCTGGTACAGCTATTCTGCTATGGTGCGATCTTAAGCACCCTGTGGGTGTCAAAGACCCACCCAGCAGAAGCAGAGCTCTGGCTGCATGGGCAAGGCAGGGTGTGAGCAGAGCCCAGGGTGTGAGCAGGATGGGAGCATCCATCCATCCATCCATCCACTTTTCCAGCTGCTGGTAGGAATAGACACCAAAACATACAGAAAACCATGGACAATCCAGATGAAACTCAGTTTCTGAGTGTCCTCCATGAAAACCCACATGTAACAGGAGGGAAGCTTGCTAAAAGCAAGGGAAAGCATTGAATTGCCATCTGCTGCTCAAGGAGAAGCTGTTGCTAGACAGAAGTAAAAGCCATCGCCACCGGCTCCCATTGGCTCAGCCCCACTCCAATGATGGGCTTATCAGTTACCTGCTCTCGCAGCTGGCTGGAAAAAAACCCCTCATTTGACAGTGTTTTCCCTCTGATAAAAAAGCCCATTGCTGGATTCGTGGGGTTGGGTTAATCATTACTCGGGGGTGGGGAGATAACAGATTCTTCCATAATCAGGACATTCAGCGTAAATGGTGAGCCAGCCCTGCACTCCTTTACCCGCCTAAAGGTGCTCAGCCTCCCAGCACAAGTGATGGACCAGGGAGAAGGTTGGCTGCTCTCAGCCATAGCATGTAGGTGAATATTCAGAGCCACCTATGAGGATCCTGATTAGCTCCTGAAGGGCTCACAGGGTGCAAACAGGGGAATGTTGCTGTTCAGGTTATTCCCAGCAAATATCATTTCATTGGCAGGGAGCAGATTGCCACCACCCCTCATCATCCATCCATCAGGCAGTTTGCTCATCAGCAACCCTGCTTTGGGGGGCTGCAGTGCACAATGTCGGCGTCTTTCCAGCCCTTCAGATATTATATAAACAGGGGTTGATCCCCTAGATTTATGCCCCAAGAGCTGGAGATCACAGCATAGAGCAAAGCTTGCAGGGCATGAGAGCACCAAAGAGCAGCTGCCCTTTGGCTGCCTTGAAATCCACCTTTAAAACAGAGGGGGTCTTTCAGCAGAGGGATTAAATCAGCATGGTGGCAAGGGGGCCAAGCTCTCAGAGGCAGCCTGGGGCTTTCCCAGCACCTCATGCCACTGTGCAAGCCCAGGAGGGCACACAGGCAGCCATGCAGGCAGGCTGGGGAGCTGCATTGAGGGGAAAAGCTACCCTGCAGCGCAGGGGATGAGATTGGAGCCCAGCCCAGGCTTACTTTTGGAAGTGGGTCTCCTGGAGTGTTTGGACAGCCAAGACTTCAGAAATGAGGTGGGGTTTGTCCCCAGTTACACCTTCCCTCTTGGCTGGCTGTGCAAGGCAGGCTGAGTCAGTCTTGCGCAGCTTTCTCCAGCCTCACCCCAACACCCGTGTGACACATCGAGCCACCACACGGCTTAGGACAAGTCACTGCTATGTGGTGGCAATACAGGGGGGGATGACATCAAGCTGGTGTCAGATGGAGCTGCGGGGTGCCCTGTGCAAGCTCCCCACACACCTACATACCCCCAAGAGGATGTAGTTATATGGGCTGGGTTGTATGACCATAAACAAAGCATCCCTCTGCTGTGCTCTTCCTCTGGGTCTGCTTTCCCAGGAGCGTAAGACAGTGCTTTGGGGTGCCACCATGTTCTGGTGGTGGGTCTGCTGAGCTTTTACCTTTCCTACAGCTTTGCTTCCCTCCTGCCACCCAGGGAGAGGTGGAAACAGCAGAGAGGAGGAAACAGAGAGAAACCTGTGCTCCTCCTGTACCCCCTAGGCTCTCATCCTTCCCATACCCCACTGGGTCCTGCTGGCATTGCACGGCATCATGCTGGGGCTTGCAAGGAGGGTGGTGCTGTGTTTTACAGCTTGTTGGATCAGGAACATGTCTGGGATGAACTGGCATGAGCAGGAGTCAAAAGACCTTCCGTGGGACCATGTTTCCTACCAGGTCTGGTGCAGAGTGCCTGGACCACGAGCTCACAGCGCAGCACAGGTTGTTGGTATTTCTGTTGCAGGATGGTTGTGCTTGGGCCACCGGGAGGTCAGAGCTTTTTAGACATGTCCAACATCTTTAGAAGCATTTCTGAGCTGTCACCAGCTTCCCCTGCTGGGCAGGGAGGAGTTAAGATGGGAAGTGCAAGATGTGTCTTGTAATGGCACCGATGTGTGCGTCAGGTGTGCCTGCATCACCCAGCTCCTTGGCCACTTCCCAAGGCTGGGGCTGAGCTCTCCTTCCCTCCCTCTGGGTGCTGGGAAAGCCTGGGACCCGTCTAACCTGGCCATGGGGGACACGGGCTCCACTTCAGTGCTGGTTGCTGGACCTTGGCTATCCAGTGCCCTAGTGACTCCCCATGTCCAGCCCCAAACCCCACTCTGGTGCTCCCACAGGTACATCTATGTACCTCCATATGTCACCCGTGGAGCATCACCCCGTCCCCACACTATTACAGCAGCTCACACTGCAGCTCAGCATCATTCCCAGCCCACAGAGCAGGCCCAGCTCTCACTCCCAAACCCTGCATGCAGGGATGCTGATGTGCAGGGTGGGCAAATCCCAACGCTGCTTCCCCCTTCACACTGGGAGCTCCCAGAGCTGGGACAGCCCAGCTGCTGGAAGGTGACACAGCACAATGCTTTCTCTTGCATTGGGCTTTCTGTAAGCTAAGCCCACCCCCTGCTCCTCCAACCTTCTTCATAGGGAAGTCCCCAGAGCAGAGGGGAGCAGCCCATACGCCAGAGAACTGCCACCATGGTACACGGGCATAGGTTTGCCAACCTCATCCCTGCCCTCTCCCTCCTGGAGAGCTGCCCGATCAGATCACACAGCACATACACAAGGGTTTAGCAAGACCAATTTTTAATTCAGAATTGGACAATTATGTGAATAGTCCATTTAAATGAAGTTCATCCTATGCTCTTGTCCAGGCTGGACATTGATTAGACCCAGACTTTTCAGGCTTCACTGTGCAAAAAGATGAGGAGGAAACTGGCCCCAAGTGGTTTGCAGCCTTTGGGCGTCAGCAAGACACCTCAGTCCTCTCACAGGAGGACGTGCCACTTGCCCACCATGGGGTATCCCCTTCCCAGAGGGCACAGGAGGTGCCCTGGCAGCCCTAGTGTTGTGGTTTAAGCCACCACTGCAGCCATTGCACCCCTGTGTGGGCTCCTCCAGGCTCTCACCAGGATCCTGCTCATCCCCGGGCACCAAGTGACAGATGAACACAGCCCAGCCACAGCAAGAGGCTGCAGACAGTGGTTTTGGGAGTTGCTGGTGTCCAAGTGCCACTACTTCTGTGTCCCAGGGCAGGGCTGGGGGTGTCTGACTCCCCTGTGCAGAGATGGGTGCCAGGCAGAGCCCATAGGGCACAAGCCCTGGGGAAGGACATCAGCAGCCTCCTCCACCTTGAACAGGCACCAGCCTGGCCCAAGACACGTGGAGGAGATGCTGTCCCTCATCATAAGCTGCTTGCCATCAGGTCTGTGGGCCAGTACTGGTCATCCATGTACTGGTTGCTGTCTGCAGCGGGGTCTGTGACGGGGCTGGGGGGCCGGGGGGGCAGGCTATGGGCCAGCTCTGTCTCCCACTGCACCTCCACCAATCTGTACAGCTCCATTGCTGTCTGAGCATCCTCCACCGACGAGTGCCCTTTGCAGCCAACCTGAGCAAAGTGGGAAAAGCCTCATTAGATAAATGGGGTGGCAAAAATTCCACACGTCATGTTGTCTGCTTGCTCAGAAGGACAGAAGTGCTGTGGGGTTTGGAGACAGCAAAGCTTTGATGCAGCCAAGGAGATGCAGGAATCTCTTAAGCACTCTCTGGGGAGCACAGGTCCTCTCCCTACTTTTGTGAGATGCTTAATGGTCAGTTTTGGAGGTCCTGTGCTCCCCCAGCTTGATCATATCCAGGAGCACAGGATGAACAAGCTTCATCTCCATCTCACAGAGAGCCACCATGGGGATGGGGCACCAGGCTGACACACAGGATGCTCCCCATCTGCAGGTTCCTGGCGCTTACCTGGATCTTTTTGTGGAGCAGGTGCCTGGCCAAGCTCTTGAGTGAGACATTGGCCCTGCCGGGCAGCCCTGCCCTCTCATTCAGCACCGGGATCCGGCTGGTGTCTCGGGTCCTGTCTTTGGGGTGGAAGTACTTCAGGGCTTGGAAGTCATTGTGGATGGCGTGTCCTACCACAATCTTGTCTTTCAAGATCTTCAGGATCTGGAAGCATCAGAAAGCGTTAGACAGGCAGTGCAGCAAAAGAAACACCCCCACCAATTAAGCATAAAATGAACCATTTTGTATTCAGTTCAATTCCTTCACTTCTAGGTTTTAGGATCCCAGCATGGAGCAGTAACAAGCAAACCAACCCACCACAGAGGCTTGTGTCTGCCTCAGAGCAGCTCAGCGCAGGCCACCAAATACCTCAAGTTGCGTCTGGCAGGTAACACAGAGACTTTCACTCTTAATTTCTCTTCCTCCTCACCTCCGCCTGGGCAGCCTTGAAGGGAATCGCTCTCTTCATGTGCTGCTTGGTGATGCCGCTCCAGCGTGTCCGGTAGTCCACGATGGGCAGCTCAGGCTGGACATACTTGTCATAGATGACATCCCCCTCATAGTTCACCACGGAGCACCGTGCCAGCTCGCTCAGCCTGCCCTGAGGACCGGTCCCCACCATCTCACAGTCGATGGCCACGTACTTGCTCGGGCGCAGAAGCGGGGAGGACGTCCGCACCCCCTTGGAGCTGCCATTCCCCTGGGACAGCAGCACGGAATGGTGCCTGGCTATGCTGTCTGGAGAGGCGGATGGGGACAGGGATGTGGAGACAGCCTCTTTGGGCTTGGGGACCTTCC